GCCTCGTCTCGACGAATGTTGCGCGGTCGGCGCCGGCTAGCGGTCCTCGCGTGAGTTTCGCGACGCCTCGCCGCGGATCGAAAGAGGGGCGCGCTGCGTCGGTCGGGGCTGTGGTGACGACGGCATGTTGTGCTGCTGCTGGCGTGGTCGCTTCGGCGGCGGCGGCGGCTGCTGTGCCTGTGTTCTCGGCGGGTGTGACTCCGGTTGCGGCACCCTCCCTGCCACGGCCTCTACCTCGTGTGGCAGCCCCGGCGGCGCGGCCACGAGGTCGACCCCGACCTCTGGCCTCCGGAGCCATGACTGTGCGGCTGGTGGGTGGGAGGTTGGAAGCGACGAAGGTTCGTTTTTATCCCCACCCGAGGTTGCTGCCAGCTGCCAGCTGTGAGGCGTTGTGGTGTCAATCCCCCAAAAAATCTAAAAAAAAATCAGGTCTTTCTTCGGTGACAGTCGAGTGCCTGGAGATCCCTGTGTCGGTGTGTGTGTGTGTGTGTCGGAAGGCGAGCTTGTTATGCCATACAAGTTGGCGATCACAGCAGGTGCAGTTTCATTCTTTGCTGAAATGGAATTCGCGGGGCAGCTTTTTGGACATGCGCCAGACCGATGCAAGGGCCGCCGCCGTGGACAGGGATTAGCACAGTGGTGGGGCACGAGGTCCCATCAGCATCATTATGCCTACTGCCCCTCCAACATGGTGCTGTCGACGCATTCGAGAACACGCATTCGAGAACGAGGGTGACTGAAGGAATGAATTGAAAAATGAGACACGTTCAATGAACTTCTCGACTGCATTGTGTTGCAAAACTACCGCAAACAAATCATGGCCTGGTCTCCGTAGAGCTCCGTGATGCTTCCCTCCCTCGACAACATGTGGGCAATCCATACACGGCCGCCCTCGACGGTGCCTGCGCCAAACTTGACGACGACGCATCCCCGGACACTGGCGGCCGACCACAGGACGGCGTGCTGCTTTTCCATGGCGAGCCTCTGCAGACGCCACGAGTCCTCGGCCGACCGGTCCGTCTCCTCCCTTTCTCGCGCTTCCACTGTCCTGAAGTCGCGCGCACCGAGGCGGGGCAGACGACCGAACTCGGCGAGGAAAAATTCACCCAGCCTCTGCATCTGGGGCCCTCGCAAGAGGAGGCTCCCAAAGACGCCGTGGCCGTGCATGGATCCGCGCAGAGGCCTGCCCGTCAGCGCGGACGCCCGCTCGTCGAGCACGACCGTGTCTCGGACGAGCAGCCGCGCGGCGCCGGCGGCAGGGGTCTCGTCAGCGTCGCCGTCGTCGCCGTCGTCGCCGCCGAGCCAGATCTCATTGCGGCCCTTCCACCGCGCGAACCCCCAGTCTTCGCCCCGCGCCGAGCGGGCCCTGCGTCACCCAGTCGAGGAGGCACAGCGAGGCGGGTCGGGGCGAGGGTGAAGAGCTGCGTCTGCTCGTAGACGCTGTCGTCAAAAGGGCTGCACGGGGTCCGGCAGCAAGCAGAGGCCGGCCGCGGGCGGCGATGCGGGCGCGCAGCGCCTGGCGCGTGACGATGGTCTTGGAGGCGGCCTTGAAGATTTTCGTGTGGCCCTGCGTGACGATGCTCAGGCGCGCGTCGGGCCGCACGAGGATCTCGAGATGGACGTGGTCGCCACCGACGAGCCCGCCGCCGTAGGACAGCAGGAACACGAGCGCGCTCTTCTCGCCGGCCGTGAGGGACGGCGAGATGAGCTTGAGCGGATACTGGTACGTGATCGACTCGAAGCCGGGCTGGCCGTTGGGCAGCAGCCGCGCGACGATGCGGCCCTCACCGGGCGCTGACGATGATTTGGGGAACGGCGAGTCCATGGGCCGTGGAGGCTCTGCGGCAGCCACACCAGCAGAGAGGTTGGCTGGCTGGTGTGAGGTGGTGCATGGAGGTGTAGGCTCGAGCAAATGGCACGCTGCGAGGCCTCGTAGCTACTGATGGACTGTCTATAGCGAAAAGAGCAAGCCAGGTAAGGTACCTAGGTTACCCCCCCCGCCGTCTTCCGTGTCGCATCTCCACTGACTGACTGGACGCTACTCCTCCTACCTGACCTAAGGATCTAAGGCACCTACCTACCTTACCTTACCTTAGGTAGGTAGGTAATACCCAGGGGTCCTTCCCACGCTTGCTCAGGTCCTGCCGTTCAGAGCCGGCGGGGTCGACCGTGCGAGCAACAGTGCGTGCTTTGTCTCTCTGTCCATCCCCGTACTGTATACATCACAGACCCCCCCCCCCTCGCCCCTGGCGCCCAGGAGCCTGGGGTCGCCGTAAGCCCCCCCCCCCCGTTCACTCACTGTCAAGCTGCGGCCGCGCCCACCCACTCGCCTCAACCACGATAGTTCAAATACTTTGGCCCGCTCTCAAAGCAATTACGCGACACCCACGCACTCAGCTTCTGCGTCGCATCACGGAAAGCCACCCACGCCCCCCTCTCCGCGAGTGTCGCGACAACGACACAGACACAGAATTTATTGCTAGCGGTCTAGACACACACCATCACCATGGACAACGCGACAGCCTCCCCGGAGCCCGAGTCCGCGTCGCGTCGCCGCTCTGGACGCGTCGTGCGGGCGCCCGAGAAGTTCAGTCCCGAGCCCGCCCTCACCACCAAGCGCAAGAGGACCGCCGATCACGATGATGAGAACTCCGAAGACGATGATGGGAATTCCGAAGAGGATGCCTCCGGGGATGACCGCGACATGAGCGACGCGACCGACGACCAACCCACACCCCGACCCAAAGACAAACAGAAACAGCAACAACGCAAGCCGGCGCCCAAACCCGCCAAACCCTCGGCCGTCGACGGACGCGCCACCAAGAAGCCCAAGACCAACGGCCTGCCCTCGGCCGCGCTCACCAAAGCCTCGAGCCTGCCGACGCGACCCAAGAAGACCGTCTCCATTGCCGACTTTGGCAAGCCCGGCCAGGATGACCTCTACGGTAAGGCACTCCCCTCCCGCTGCTCCTCCCCCCCTCCTCCTCCTCCTCCTCCTCTCTGGCCACTGGCAGGGCCCTCGGGCTGACATGGGGCCGCAGCCGATGTGTTCACGCCCGGCCGCTCGTCAGATGACGCCGCCGATGACTGGTTCAAGAGATACCGCGAGGACGACGCCGGCGCCCTCAGAGACCTCGTCAACTTTGTGTTGCAGGTCTGCGGCTGCGAGCACAAGATCACCGATGACGACATTCGCGACCCCGATAACTCAGACAACCGCCTGGGCGAATTGCAAGAACTGTATCAAGAGGTGCGTCTCGTCCTGCCTGCGTCTCCCTGGCTCCTCATCGTGACTGTGCCCCCATGCTCATGCCTCGTCTTCGCAGGAACGCATCACCGAATACCCCCTCATCTCTCGTGCCAAGGGAGTCCGCTCCTTCCGAGAGCTGTTTGGAGAATTCTTTGAAGCGCTGGTCACGACGCTGCACGAGACAGAAGTCCTGTATAAGGAGCCCGTGCTCATGGAGAACATATCGCGCTGGATAGCCTCCATGTCCTCCTCACCACTCCGTCCGTTCCGACACACGGCGACGACTGCCATCTTGTCCATCGTGTCTGGCCTTGTAGACACGGCCGTTCTCCTCGACAAGAGAATCTCCACCATCGAGCACCAAATCTCTGCGAGCCAGAGGCAGAAGAACAAGACCAAGGCGGCCGAAATGCAACAGAGCCTCGAGCAAGCCAATACATACCGCGCAATCTGCAACGACCAGATGAAGGATTTCTTCGAGACCACCTTTGTCCACAGGTACCGAGACGTCGACCCCCGCATCAGGACCGAATGCGCCGAGGCTCTCGGCATCTGGGTGCAAGATCTGCCGTCCGTGTTTATGGAACCAGGCCACCTGCGCTACCTCGGGTGGATGTTGTCGGATGTCGTCGCATCGACGCGTCAAGAGGTGCTGAAGCAGCTCGGCCGCATCTTCAAGACGGGCGTCGAACAGCTCGGTCACTTCGTCGACAGGTTCCGCCCACGCCTCATTGAGATCGCGACCAAGGACGCAGAGGTCTCAGTGCGCGTTGCCGCCATTGGCGTTGCCGACACGCTGCGGAAGGACGGCATGCTCGAGCCCGACGAGGTTGACGCCGTCGGCAGACTCATTTTCGACAGTGAGCTGCGCGTCAGGAAGGCCGCTGCCACCTTCTTCGACAACCTGGTGTCGGCGAGCCTGGACGACCAGCGGAATGCGCTTGGTGGCAAAGACGCCGTAGAAGAAGCTCTGGGGGGTAGCGACGAGCTCGGCTATGAGTCGCCGCAGGAAGAGTGGCTTCACATCAAGTTGCTCGCCGAAAACATTGTCGCATTCGATGCGCAGGTCGAGAACGAGCTGGGCAGTCCTGACTTCCACGACGCCAGCGTGGCTGCCGATATCATGCGCGCTGTAGCACCCGCCACGAGAATATCCGTCGCCGCGCACGTCCTCTACGAGAGGATACAGGTGGTGCGAGACTGGAAGCTGTTGGCGGGCTACCTGCTGTATGACCACACCGTCAGTTCCAAGTCCAAATCAAAGGCGAAGAATTCGCAGACGGCCATCAAGAACCTCATCCGCCCCGATGATTCGGAGGAGGCCGCGCTGCTCGAGGTCATGGCCGCTGCCGTGACCCTCGCACTGAGCCAGCCCGTCGACGCGAAGCGATCCGGACGCCATGAGAACTCGGACGCGCAGGAAGAGACTGCCCTGGAGCTGGCTGCCATGATTCCCCGCCTCCTCAACAAGTTCGGCGCCGATCCCTCCACCGCCAAGATCGTGCTGCGAATGGAGCATGCCCTGAAGCTCGACGTGTTCCAACAGCTGCGTCAGGATTCCTCCCGATACGAGCACCTTCTTGATGAGATCAGCATCCAGTTCAACAGGCACGGCGACAAGGACGTCCTCGCCGAGGCGACAGCTGCCTTGTCTCACGCCCGCCAGCACGACGAGTTGGAGGAGTTGACCGACAGCAAGTTGGCCCTCTTGTGGGAGAATGCGATCAATTCGCTCCGGAACTTTGACAAGACTTGCGAGATTGACGACCGCGGCGACCTCACGGCGGAGCATCTGACAGATCTCTCGACCGTGGTGAACAAGATCAGCAACCTGGCCAGTGTCGCAGACTGCGTCGACGTCATGGAGGCGGCAGGACGAGCGGCCGACTCGGAAGGCTCACCGATTGAGATTCTTGCCACCATGGTGAATCGCGGAACATTCGTTGCCATTGACGACGACATTGATGAGCTGGAAGACGAGCTCGTGTCATGGGCGATCAAGGCCTGCCAGTTTTATTTCATGTGGAAGCTGCACCGCATCGAGAAGCTGGTCCGGACAGGATCCGACATGTCGCCCGAAGAGGTCGACCAGCTACAGAAGGTTCGCGGCATCTTCCAAGACAACCTGATCAACACGCTCTCCTCGCGGGTCATCATCGACGACATTCGACTCTACGCCACCGGCAGCCTGTGCGACATGTACACCCTCTTTGCCTCCCTGCGCGACTGGACCGAAGCCGCCGGCAAGCCCACCAAGTACAAGACGCTGGTCAGTTCCGTCGGCGAGGTTGTCCCCGCCCTCGTGCCCGAGCTCATTTCCATCTTTGACGGCATCGAGCGCAGCTACGCCCGGCGAACCAAGAGGGTCCTCAACGAGCCCGCCGACGACGAGGACCCCATCGACGACGACGAGTCGGACGACGAGGACGAAGATGAGGGCCTCACAAAGGAACAGCGCTTCGTGAACGAGCTCAAGGCCGAGCGCTCGCTCTGCGAGCTCGCGGCCAAGTTCGTCATGGCCATCGCGCGCCAGGTCATCGACAAGTCGGGCCCCAACGCCGGACGGCTGCGCAGGCGCCTGCTGCGGAACCAGTCCAAGCTGGGCAAGAACTACGCCGAGGTCGTGGCGTACCTGGACGTAGCCAAGGTCGACGCGCTGCTGTACGGAAGAAAATCCAAGGCCTCCAAGACGGCAGCGGCGGCGGCGAAGAAGGCCGCCCCGGCGAGCAAGAAGCCGACGGCGGCGCTCAGCGAAGAGATTGTCGTCGATGACGAGGAGCCCGAGGACCCGTTCGAAGAGGAGCCCGAGCCCGAGGAAGGGTCAAGAGAAGACCTCCGCCGGCGGGAGCTGTTACCGGCGGAGGACGACGAGCCCGAGGACGAGGAAGGAGAGGACGACAGGTCCGCAAACGCGGAGAGCGAGGTGGACAGCGTGCTGGGCGACTGAGCGAGAAATGTTCCCATACTGCAAGAGGAAGGGGGGGGGGTGGATGAGGACCTCTGCTCCCGCCCGGACACCACACGTCTCTGACTAGTGTTCTTTCGTTCTTGTGGTGTTCGGTCCGGAGGGGAAATGCAGGGGGGGGACCGGTTTCTGTCTTTCTTTTTCTTGGGTCACGAGAATAGCCCCTGACACTATGGGCACGGGGGCGATCGGGTGATTGCAGCTTCCGGCGTTGAGGCTACGGGACGTCGCGATTTTACGGTGCTGTTTGTATATTGGGAGAAGCTTCATGACCTGCCTATTTTTGTACCCCGAAAAAAGCTTCCATTATGCCCATCGCGCTGGGGATTGTTATGTTCTGTTGTGAGCGCTGGTTCGTGAATACCTCCCGTTGTGTGGCCAGTCCTCCTATCGCCGGCATCCTCTGTTCCAGAATCCGTGCTTTGAACCGCTCTATGTATAGGGCACTTTGGTGCCAAAAAGCCCGTAGGCCCGCTCCCAACGCTTGCCCTCTCCAGCATTCGCTTTTTGAGGGTCCTCCTCCGGAACCCTCACGCCGTATTGTCGTACGCAGCAGCTGAAAGGCCGATTTTGCGCGGCCAGGCCCGGATTGGGAGAGCCGTGGGCATCGCCCGTTGTGGTGTCTTCTTCTCGTCGTGTTTTGACGGCCTCTTCATCCGAACTGTCTGGTGGTGGTCCGTTGTTCGGCTTGGGGGGCGGCTTTTTGGCCTTGGGCTTGGCTGTCTGCTTGGATTTCAACTCTTCCAGATTGCCCCAGAGAGTGAACAGCCTCTCGCGAAGTTGACTGAGGCTATCAGGATGTTTGCGGAGATCGCAGGCCGTCAGGCCCATGAGGTGCTCTGCTTCCCCGTTGTCTACAAAGACCCAGACAGTCTCGGGTGTGCCATCTTTATGCTGCCCAAGCGCAGAAGCTTCTTGGAGCGAGAGCGCGAAGCGCCACTCCCAAACCAGCTCCGAACTGTTCAAAACCCCGTTGTCCTCCTCATCCATGTCTGACGAGGAGCTGCTACAGTCAGACAAAATGTCTGTCTCTGATCGTTTGCGCGAACAGGCGAAATCAAGAAGCCTCGGTGGATGAAAGTCGATCACACGGGCATTGATGCGATACTTCAGACATGTAAAGGGTAGCTGGATGTCCATTGCGGTACCGTGGCTTGTCGTGGAATAATTTACCCTCTTGATCAGACTCTTGATGGTGCTTGCGGGTTGGTCCTCGTTCGCACATTTTACTGTCATTGCTCGTGTCAGCTTTATAAGAGCACGGAGCCATAAGAACACCAGCTCACCATATCCGTTCAAATCAACCACTGTTCCTTGCGCACTGTCACCGTCTGGCGACACGTTACTCGATATTGCGGCTCGCTGAAGAGCTCTTCTCTTTCTTGCATTCATTTTCTGACCCCCGGACTCCTCGACAACAGACCGCTTTTGGCTCCCGGTCGTCCCTGCGCTGGCGAGTTTGATGTCCTTCCTCCTCCCCTTGAAGTAATCCCGCTTCCGTCGAATAAGTTCCTTGAGGTGTAAGTCCGTGTTTTCCGCGTCGGTGGTCTCGAGAATCTCGATCTGAACCTTGAATAGGGAAGCCTCCCGGTCTTGGCGAAGGAAGCCTTCGAGGTGTTGGCCGTTGTGTCCGTACTTGATCTGGATATTCTTGAGTCGCACGTAGGCGCCTTGACGGACCCAAAGTTTGACAAAAGCGGCATGCGTTTCGAAACATGTCAACTGCATACACCGCTTGCCGTAGGGGCCCTGAAAAGCCGAGGTAGAGGATTGGCTCGCAGTAGTCGTCTTTGCTGGTGTGTAGTTGTATGGATCGCTTTCTTCGCAGCCTGAATTTATGGGGAAAAACATCTCGTTCTCGGTGTAGTCCGTGATCCAGACGGTGGCTTTATCCACGAGATCATATGGTTCCCTCACAACCTGGACGACTAGATCATAGAACCTCCCTTCCCGAATATTCTCCAGACGACTAAATTTGTCTTTCAGGTTAAGCGATTGTTCGGCTTTCTCGCGAAACTGTGCCTCACTCGGCACGCTGCTTTTGTTGATGGAGTGGTACAACCATGAAACGAAAGCCTCAGCGTGCAGAAGCGGCTTGGATGTAGGGTTTCTGGGGTCAGGCTTCAGCGCCAAATTGGCCGACTGAGGATACTGAGGAATGAGAGAAGCTTGATAAACATGAAGACAAGTCCGATGATGAGTGACGAGTGACAAATCGCCCTTGTATCGCTGAAGCTTGGCACTTTGCATGATGATGACATCCCCAGCGCCGACACGCGGCATGAGATGTTCAGGACGGAAAATCACCAGTGACAGGTCGTCGTATCCATCTTGGGTAGAAAGGTCAAAAAGTCTCAAGGTAGACTTGAAGTCTAGGGATAGCGTTAGATTGTCTGAAGCAGCTACCGACCCAGACTGCACTGGGCAATGGAGGCTTACCCTGTCCGTTTGTAGGGATTGGCAGAAGACAATCCTTGACCATCGCAACAATGTTTACCAAATCGCCTGGCCTAGGTTTTCCGTCGAGTATGTCCCGGGCAGAAATACATCCTTGAGGAAAGGCGGGCGCCGACGATGTCTGGGTCGACATGTTGGTAGATAGGAACAGTTCTCTGACGGGTCACAGAGACTTTGGGATGGCCTTCGCACTGGCGAGATTCGCAGGACGTTGTTTGACCATCCAGCTCCCTCTTGAACAGAATGTGGATCTTGTCAAGTCTGACCAGGCTAAGCCGAACTGCCCATACCACGCCTTGATTGGGACGCAAGGGGTCGGTGGCAGCGAGCTGAAGGGCGGTATTGCAAGTTGTACGGCGCGTCCCCCTTAGTGAGACGCGTCGACCGACAGATGTACCTTTCCCTTCCATGTGCCGGTACATGCACTGTTCTCCTGCCTCTGGCTTCGTCCGTGCGCGAGTGCCAGCAACTGGAACCCAACGTCCAGCGTGGAGGCGGCGATCAGGGCTGCTGAGTCAGGGCCAACACCTGCCAAAGCGAAGGAACCAAACAAGAAAGAAGGTGTTTAAGAGGTGCATCGTCATGTGCCCGTGTACCTGCGAAACGCATTGCATGTACCTTTTCCTGCCAATGTTCTTCCAGGCAGGCACCCAAGAAACATTCTCTACCTTAGGAATAAGAAAGCCAAAGTCAATGCACGGGGCAACTCGGCTTTTCTGTGACGCCTGTGGCCATGAGAAGAGCGCATCCATCCCTTTCATTTCGTACACCTTGTGTGTCCTGGGAGAAGCTTTCGGTCACAAGCCAGACAGTTTCGAGCAAGTGAGGTAAAGCCACCGTTTGACCGTCCCTGAATACCTGTCTGGGTACTTGTCTGGGTACCTGTTCTGAGCGACAGGTGCAAAGAAGTCGACTCGGGCTGTCTCGTGTTAAGCCAGTACTTACTCTCCATGTTGCCCCTCACCTGGTGGCCTGGAAATTGGGCGTCCCCAATCGCGCCCTCCCCGCAGTACCAGACACCCAGCACGAGCCACCATGACCCCGCTACGCTGGACTCGCTCGTTGCGCACTATCAGGAGGGACTTTGCACCTGCTCGTCCGTGTCTTCAACCCCCCCAACTTTTCCCTCCATCCACCGCCCGCAGAATAAATTTCCCACTCTCGTCCCTTCCCTTCCCGCTCCCTACATCATCACACCCAACCCACCACATCTATTCACCTCTGCCCTTTCTTACCCACGCCCCCCGCGATACATACGGACCTCGAGACCTCACTCTTAATTTTTCTCTCTCCTACTTTTTGCGCAACGCACTCCGAATCAGCTGCGTTCCCTCCCACCACGAGTCGAACACACGCTCGATCTTGGTCCTCGACCGCCCTCTGCTGCGACTCCACCACTTCAAAAAGGTGACAGCCTTCATCAACCGGAACCATGGCCGACCGCTACATCCCCGAGCACCGCCGCACCAACTTCAAGGCGAAGAGCAACTTCAAGCCTGAGGAACTCCGCCGCCGTCGTGAGGAGCAACAGGTCGAAATTCGCAAGGCCAAGCGAGAGGAGAACCTTGCGAAGAGGAGAGGAATCGCCACGGGCGAGAACAGGCCTGGCGCCTCGCTCGGCGCCGCTCCCGACAGTGACGATGATACCGCCCCCACCGAGTCACAGGTTCGTTGCATCTCTCGATCTCTGTTTTGCCGTATCCCCTGTTTCTTTTAACTACCCATCTGCCTTGTCTCACCTGTCCACCTTTTTTGCGTGGTATCTGCCCTCTGCCTCAATTGCGCGGCATAGCTTGGGTACAGGCCCCCCTTTCTTCGTCGACCCCGCCAAACACGCTTCGTCTTATTTTGCATGCTCGTTGCCAGGGGCTTGCTCACCACCCACTGCCCCACATGCACAATCAGGGTCTTCGACCATCTGCGTCCTCGTCGACATGTGCTATCGGTGCCACTGCTCTGTCCTACCTTTTGCTTGCCTATATCACGTACTCCATAGGCAAGATCATCTGTGCTGACCATGAGTAGTTGAACGAGGACCTTCCTCAGATGGTGGAGGGTGTCTTCTCCGAACAGATTGACCTCCAGATTCAGGCCACGACAAAGTTCCGAAAGCTGCTTTCGAAGGAGCGCAACCCCCCGATCGAGGAGGTCATCAAGACCGGCGTCGTCAGCCGCTTTGTGACCTTCCTCCGCTCTCCCCACACCCTGGTTCAGTTCGAGGCCGCTTGGGCTCTTACCAACATTGCTTCCGGTTCCGCTACTCAGACCCAAGTCGTCATTGAGGCCGGCGCCGTCCCCATCTTCGTCGAGCTTCTTGGTAGCCCCGAGCCCGATGTGCGCGAGCAGGCTGTCTGGGCTCTCGGCAACATTGCCGGCGATAGCCCCCACTGCCGTGACTATGTTCTCAGCTGCGCCGCGCTCAAGCCTCTGCTGGCTCTCCTCGGTGACAGCCGCAAGCTCAGCATGCTCCGCAACGCTACCTGGACTCTCAGCAACTTCTGCCGTGGCAAGACCCCCCAGCCCGACTGGGCCACCGTAAGTGATACTACAGCATCCCAGAAACCTACCGCATGTTCGTGCCTTGTGCTGATCGCCGTCTGCAGATCGCTCCCGCGTTGCCCGTGCTGTCCAAGCTTGTCTACTCTCTCGATGATGAGGTCCTGATCGACGCTTGCTGGGCCATTTCTTACCTTTCCGATGGATCCAACGATAAGATTCAGGCTGTCATCGAGGCTGGTATCCCCCCGCCGCCTGGTCGAGCTCCTCATGCATGCCTCGACTTCGGTCCAGACGCCGGCTCTTCGCTCCGTTGGCAACATTGTCACTGGTGATGATGTTCAGACCCAGGTCATCATCAACTGCGGTGCGCTGCCCTGCCTTCTTTCTCTGCTGAGCTCCAACAAGGACGGCATTCGCAAGGAGGCGTGCTGGACGATCTCGAACGTCACGGCCGGCAACTCGGCGCAGATTCAGTCTGTCATTGACGCCAACATCATCCCCCCTCTTATCCACCTCCTCTCCAACGGCGATCTTAAGACCCGCAAGGAGGCGTGCTGGGCCATCAGCAACGCTACGTCCGGTGGTCTCCAGAAGCCGGAGCAGATCCGCTACCTCGTGGCCCAGGGCTGCATCAAGCCCCTCTGCGACCTTCTCGCTTGCCCCGATAACAAGATCATCCAGGTGGCGCTGGACGGCCTCGAGAACATTCTCAAGGTTGGCGATCTTGACAAGCAGGCTGCTGGCGAAGGCCCCGACTCTATCAACCGCTACGCCCTGTTCATCGAGGAGTGCGGTGGCATGGAGAAGATCCACGAATGCCAGACCAACGCCAACGAGGAGATCTACATGAAGGCGTACAACATTATTGAGAAGTACTTTGCCGACGAGGAGGAGAACGCCGATGAGGGTATGGCTCAAGGCACCGGCCCCAACGGTACCTTTGGCTTCGGTGCCAACGCCCCTGCCCAGCAGGGTGGTTTCAGTTTTGCCAACGGTGGCGACTCCATGGACATGTAAAGCAGTCTACATGACCAACGTTTCCGGCGATTCCCAACTATTCCCTCCCCTACCAACACACACACACACACGCACACACCCTTCCCAGCTGTCGGCAATTGCATATCACTACTCTTGGTAGAACGATCGCCGGCAACATCCCCCTATTCCCTGCACACACATAAACCCCCTGCACCCGGCGTTTCTAATATGGCTTTGTGGGCATGCATCAATCATGTCAGCGCCGCGAGCAGCGTGGCAAACAGGTTCTTTGGTAGCTTGAAAGCTCCAGCCTGCGAGAGAAAACGTGAAGACGACGCGACGAGTGACGAGCCGTGGAGAGGCCATTCGGGACGAAGCCAGGTAATGGTGACCGGCGTTCGGATGCAGCTCAGTCAGACGCACGTGCTGATGCCGATGATCCGGCGCTCGACGAGAAGGTCGTGAGGTTGAAGTCGTCATGGCGACTTGTCGGCTCCAAACCCCAACCCAAGCTGGAGCTGCTGTCAAGATGCTAGTGCGTCTCGGCATGTAGGTGGAGGAGGGGAACGAGCAGCTCAGACTCAGGCGCGGATGAACGATGCTCGCTGCAACCAAGTGGCTGCAGGCTGCCGGGTCTTCGTTTGTGACAACCAAGAGAGGCTGTTAGCAAGAGCAAAAGAAATTTATATCAACCTCATCATGTGACGCGCAGTGTGATCGGGTCTTGCATGTCGCGGAAACGTAAATCGAATACACCACCGGCCAGAACCAGTCAAACCCAGATGTTCGGGTCTCACGAATCTACATGATGCCCAGTCACCGAGAAACAAGGTTCAAGTTCAGCATCCTGTCGCAACTAGATTTGTTTTCATGCAAGCTGAGGAAGCCACAACCTTGATGCTCCTTAGTGGTCATGGTGCAGGTGCAGGCCTCAATTCTGGGCTATGCAATTATGGATCCAATCAACGCCATGGACATGCCAGGCTCTGGACCGCGCTGCTTTGATTTATTAGCGGGTACCTAGGTACCTAGGCTTGCTAGGCAAATAAGCGGTACCCTGAGCGGCCCGCGCTCGGCCCTTGCATAAAGCTTCACTTCACCTCGCCTTCAATAGCGACCTAGGCTTTGCGGTTTCCGAGCCTTGGGCGCGTTCAGTTGGCCCTCACATCCAAACCTCCAGCAACTGGCGGCAACCTTGTCACAGACCTTTTTCTGCATACGCTCCCCAGAGATTCTACGCGCAGCACGGTCGCGCATCTTCGAATGGCTACATCAATTGCGGCGTAGGCTAGAGTGTCTATCATCTCAACTTCGATATCGCAATCACGGCGCTGTCACCATGGAAGGTCGCGCTTCGAGAAGCGCCCAGCAGATTGGCCTTTCTCGATGGCAGAAGTTCATAGCCAACTCACTGGCAAAGCGACTAGACCCCGAGCGATTCGAGTCCTATGCCCCAATACTCTACTCAAAACATCCGCTGCCGCCGGCTATCATTGCCGACTTATTCTTGCGCCCGCGCTCTGGCAACCGACAGTTCCTCGACCCCCGCATCCCACAATACCTTCAGAGCCTCTCGAAACTGCGATACATCGATATTCCCTCCGTGCTGAAAGGCCTCTACAGATACTCGACATCGCACACACAAGCACATCCTACCAATGGGCAGGGTCTAGAGGGAGATGGCGAGGCCACTCGTCTTATCCGATGGGGGAGCTCATATGGTTCAGAGGAGGTCATGTTCTATCGCTTGACCAAGGCTGTGGCACAAGGGGCAGCTATACAGAATGCCGCGGTCGCTTTAGAAATCGCCAAAATCATGTCGAAATGGATGACCCTATTTACGGATGCGTCGACTGCCTTTGCAGTTGATCCCATGGGGCAAATGCAGGCGAATCAAGCCCGAGACGAGATGGATTGTGCACGTGCGGCCTTCGTCGCCCTGTTGCTCGGGGTTTGCGAGAATCAGGTAGTGCTGAAAGCATTGAGCAGGCCACAGGCTGCAGGTGAGCATCTGTCCTTGTCCCCTGTCGACAACTCTTCGTGACCGAGCTGACGTAGTCGCGATAGCTGCTCGAAAGGCCATGTCTGAAGGTCTTGCAACATTTGTTCCCACCATTATGCACAACGCTGGTCCTGTGACAACGCGGCTCGACCACTTTCGAACGAGAACACTGACCAATTTTGAGCCGGCGGAGGCAGGCAAGCCACTTGCCGCTCCAGAACTGGATCAGCTCTTCGACTCTGGGGTCGAGCTCAACAACTTCGTCATCCCAGAACTCCCAGTCGCCAACTCAAGAGCAGGACTATACATTTACCTGAACGCCGCTGTATGAAAAGGACCCATCAATCCGATCCATTTCACAGTACTGACCTCGTGTGTTGTAGCTTGTTGGTCGCCCATTAATCGACGACACAGCCGTCTTCAACTATCTGAACAACCGCTACCAGGTTGGTTTTACCAGTACTTCTTCTCTTGATCTTAGCTGACTCTGACAGGGCGACGTGCAATCCACCACCATCGATCTTATTCTGGCGTCATTCGACGTGTTGGCCAATGCAGTCTTCCGCAACGAGGGGAACAAAGCTGCACATATGCTGAGGTCTTATCTCATGAACAAGCTCCCCATCCTCATTTCAAACCTGAGCAAGCACATGTACCCGCCGTTGACGGCCGAGTACTGCATCACCGAAGCGCTGAGCCACGTCGACACCAATGCTTTCCCTACGCTCTCGTCGATGTTTGATGAGAGTCGAAACAATAATCCTTACACCGACTCGGTCCGGGAAGAATTTTGCTGGGCATGCTGTTTGCACGGCTTGCTACGAGAAAGCAGCATAGAAACGATCCTGGGCGAGACGCCATACCAGTCCTTACCCTCCCGAGGCAGATATGTCAAAGACACGCTCGTCGCAGAATGTCTGGACGACCCGGAGCGCATGCAGGCTCTCGTTAAGGAGCTAGATAACATGGATGGGAACGTGGGTGCTGTCTGCCACGCTTTGACAGAGGTAGGCTTGTCGTGCGGGTTGGAATGATGCAACAGATGACGCTGACAATTACCCGCAGGTCTTGGCTCAGTTGTGCCGCAACAAGGAGACGATGTCATTGAAGAACCTCTGCAGTCAACTGTCTCGCAGGCCATTGTCACTGGACGTCATACTTCTTTTCGAAAAGCCAACTGCTATTTTGCAGCCATTGTGCGATTTACTCGACGACTGGAAGTATGACGAGGATCAAGGCGAGTACCAGCCTGTCTACGAAGAATTTGGATCCGTCCTCCTTCTCCTACTCGCCTTTGCCTACCGCTACAACCTTACGGCATCCGATATTGGTGCACGATCTCCGGATTCGTTTGTGGCGAAATTCCTCGGTCAAGGCCACCTGAGTCGATCCTCCGAGGAGCTTTCGGACCTGGAGAAGAGCCATCTGGGTGGTTGGATCCATGGTCTTTTCGACCAGGAAGCTGGTGGCCTGACAGACGACTTGATATCATCTTGTCCACCACAAGAGTTCTACCTCTTAATCCCGACCTTGTTCCAAAACGTTGTCACAGCCTTTGCCACCGGTCACCTTTCAGAAGAGAGTCTGAAAGGTGGTGTTGAATGTAGGCTAGCACCGCGCAGCTCTCGTATCGCATTTGCTAACACGCTCGGCAGACCTCGTAGACACGTTTCTGCTCCCTTCACTGGTTACTGCGATTACCTACCTGGCAAACTCGCTGTGGGTCGAACGGCACAACCAGAACACCATCATCAGGGTTCTCCACCTAGTGTTGCAGCCCAGCGCGATTTCCGAAGAAGCAAAAACCATGCTCTCGTCAGTCCTCAATATTGTGGCCAAGCCCTTGGAGCACTCGCTCAGGGCTTCTCAACGGCAGGACCCCAAGAACCAAAAGATCGACCCTCTCCTCGGCGTATTAAAAGACAACATTCCACTGTCACGCCGCACAGGCGGAGCAGACCACAACGAGCTGGAGACGTGGACGAGTACGCAGGGCGAAGGCCTTGCGACGGCCTTGCGCCACACAATGCAAGGTTTTGTGCAGTGGAGTCTGCACCCGGGCATCAACATCACGCCCACATCGTACTCGCATCGTCAGGTCTTGGCTGCGCTCCGGCTACTGGGGGCGAAGCGGGTGCTTCGCTTGATCTGTGAGGAGGTCAAGCAGCAAACAGAAGCCGGCGGCGGCAGTGTTGTGTACGATGTGGCTACGGCACTCGTTTGTGCTCCGGAGGTTACAAACAACCCTCAAACGCCAGGGTTGACCTTCTTTGAGGATTCGGGGAACGTACCGGCGCCCGTGCAGAGGCGGCTGACGCTGCGGGACGTGCTGAAGGCCGAGGCGGAAGACAGCAGGCGACTACAGAGGACTGACATGAGCCAGGCTGAGCTGGTCGTGCGGCTCCATCGGCGCGTCGAAGCCCAGATGGCCGTGTCCGAAGCTGAGGCCATCCATGCGGAGGCCATCCTGCAGGGCGACCTGGGCCTGGGTCTGGATGATGCGGCAGGCTCTTTGAGCGAGGCCATGGCGGCCGCGGCTGCCAACGCGGGACCGACTGGCGGTGCCATGACGGTTGATAGCGTCGGCCTGGACCTGGGCATGGGCGGCGTCGGCGGCGACCTGGATTTAGGCGATGCAACTGGCAACGGCGGCTCATTGGATCTGGGGGCTGACGACATTTTCAGCGGTCTGTCCGCTGGTGGTGATTTCGAGTGGGATACGATGGATCTTGGCTAACAGCACCGATGACGAATTGTAACATGCTAACGAGCACATGAATACACAGGCATCTGGCTCAGTGTTATTTGCAACGTGACCTGAGCAATGCACAAGTGACGACATGGGTGATGGGTGATTCAAGGGGCCCGGGCCGGTCCAGACAGGCTTGCACTGCCGGGCCCCGAGATGAGGACCGAAGCGGTGCACAGCTGCAGCTGAGACTCCGAGGCAAACCCGGGGCTACAAGGAAGCTGAGTACGTGGTGTGGTACGGCATGCATGTCAAGGCACCTAGGTACGTATGTCAAATTGGGCTTTCCAGCGATTGGCGCGGCAAGGACTCTCTCTCTCTCTCTCTGTCTCTCTTTCTATTACCTGATGAGATGATGTGTGGGTATGTGGATTGTCAGGCAGGCAGCCCCTTTGCCGGTCAGGCCGGTGTAGCCGGAACGTTCGGTCCCAACAGCCGAAGGCCAGATGTATTCGAATACAGATGAAGGCCTGCAAAATCGTGTACTCATTACGGTTACTTCACATAATGGAAGTCTCTGCAAGCGAAAGGACAAGCAAGCGAATGTTGAATTGCCGGGCGCGCGAAGCTCGGCTCACTGAGGCTCGAAGACGGCAAAGCACATGTGAGTCTGCCGTTCTTCGGCTCGCGCCTAAACAGTTAGTTCTACGTCCGTCCGACGTCGGTGGTCTTGTCCAGAGTGTGGGGGGCTCATCAAGACCAAGAATGGGGGAAATCGGAAGATGGGAGGAGAAAAGTTGGGGGGGGGAGGGGGGAGGCGGAGCTCTGATGCCATCTACAGGCCAAACATGCGCCAGAATGTCACCGTTACAAGGGGGGCAGGTGCTGGAACAACAGTGTCTCCGACGGTGTGGTCCCTGGAGCTGGTCCGCTAGTCCCTTCTAAGACGCCCCGGCGACGGCGCCTGGCCAGTGACGAGCGACGGTCCGACCCAAGCGCCCTCCATGCCAGGTCACTCTTCACACCAGGCACGGGTAAAAGAAAAAAAAAACCAATTGGCGCGCCCTGCAGAGTCTCGTGGCGATCCCGTCCTGCATCTGCACCCCCCCAAGCGCATTCCCCTTCGACTCATCGGCACAGTCAAACACCCTCCGAATGCCAACCTCCCTTTGGTCATCTACCTCAACTCACGCCTTGAGGTCATCGCGACGCATCCGATCGAACCCTGTGTAGCTCCTGCGATCGTCTGATTACAGGTTCCCCCCAGATATCCCCGGAAATTAGTCCCGCGCGACCCGCACAGACTATACTCTGTCGATAACTCTCGGTCCTCGGTTCTCGGCCTTTCACCTGAACATCACGAGAGCTCCAGCCTCAACCCAGAAACTGATCTCTGTCCTCACCCTGGCTTCTCGATCAACCTCGACCATTGTGCGTCTTCGTCGCCACGACCCGCCAAGATGAGCAAAGCAGCCGCTGTCAAGGAGGCTGTCAAGGAGAGCCTCCTCGGCGCGGAGGAGCCGACGCAGCTGTCCAGCCAGACCAAGTCCCGCTTCCACGCCAATGCCATCAAGGATGCCGAGACGGGCGAGCTCTTCATGGGACCCGACGAGTTTGTCAATGCCGTTGCGCCTGCCACGGAAGACTACGTGAGTCACCCTGTGGCGTCCCCCCTCCCCCTTTCCCTCGTCGACAAGACCACCATGCTGACCTGCCCTCTCATGGCCTGCAGCACAAGATCAAACGCGAACAATACGGCATTCTCTTCCGCGTCGCCGACCGCAAGGATGCCGGCCGCATCTCACTATCCGAGTGGGCTGCTTTCGAGAACCTGCTGATGAAGCCCGACGCCGAGTACGAGATTGCTTTCCGCCTCTTCGACGTGTCCAGAACCGGCAGCGTCAAGTACGAAGACTTCCGCCAGCTGTACGAGCTGAACAAGGGTGAGACGAGCATCCCCTTCGACTGGGAGTGCGAGTGGGCCAAGCTGTACATTGGCGGCAAGAAGAAGCGACACCAGATGGATTACCCCCAATTCTCCCAGATGCTGCGCGGTCTGCAGGGTGAGCGCATCCGTCAGGCCTTCCAGCAGTTCGACCGTGACGGCGACGGCTTCATTGACCCGGAGGACTTTGAGCGCATCATTTTGGAGACGTCCAAGCACAAACTCTCCGACCATCTGCTCCAGAACCTCAGCAGCCTGTGCAACATTACCCTCGGCAGCAAGGTTTCCTACGCCAATGTTCGCGCGTTTCAGAACATGATCAAGGAGATGGACCTCGTCGAGCTGATCGTCCGCCGCGCGGTTGCCAAGAGCACCGATGGCAAGATCACGCGGACCGAGTTCCTGAACCAGGCCGCCAAGATCACTCGCTTCTCCCTCTTCACGCCCATGGAGGCCGACATTCTCTTCCACTTTGCCAGCCTCGACGAGCCCTCTGGCAGACTCGGACTCGCCGATTTTGCCAAGGTCCTCGACCCATCCTGGAGGAACCCGCTCTACGACACGGAGGACGCGCCCCACCGCGGCGTGTCGGACGCGGCTGCAGGCGCCACGGGTGCCGCCGTCGCGAAGCTCATGGAATCGAGCTACAACTTCCTGCTTGGCAGTGTCGCCGGTGCCTTTGGTGCCTTCATGGTGTATCCCATCGATCTCGTCAAGACGCGCCTGCAGAACCAGCGAGGCGCTAGGCCAGGCGAGCGCCTCTACAAGAACTCGATCGACTGCTTCCAAAAGGTCTGGCGTAACGAGGGCCTGCGCGGTCTGTACTCTGGTGTCTTGCCGCAGCTCGTCGGCGTGGCGCCAGAGAAGGCCATCAAGCTGACCGTCAACGACATTGTCCGCACGTACTTCACCAACAAGGAGGGCAAGATCTACTGGGGCTCGGAGGTGCTCGCTGGTGGTGCGGCGGGTGCCTGTCAGGTGGTGAGTACTTGATTTTTATCATGGTTGTCTGTGCATGACGAT